TGTTTCGAGAGCAATTCTTTCTAGTATGTATTCAAAAAATAAAATAAACATTACAGCAAAACTAATAAGAATTATTAATTTATGACAATTAAGTATTTGCATAAAATATATTCATTTTGCATGTGAGAGGAATTAATTAATTAATAGAAGTTTCGAATTGAAGCCATGAAAATTATCATTAAATAGAAACCGAACCGTTTTTGAATGCGACTGATGTAGCGGGTGACGAGTCGACTGTACCTGTGATGCTCCGATCCCGATCTTCATCTTGCTGAGGGGACGAACTGAGCACTGGATGACTGTTGCAGTTGCGCGGGCGGTTTATATAGGAGCGATCGGTCGCAAGCCGGGCGAGTGGGGGTGGGGGTGTCCGCTCGATCGAGCAGAGCGGACCGCCGCCTCCGCCGCCTCCGCCGCCGCCACCGCCACCGCCGCCGCCGCCGCCTCTCGAGGCAAAAACCGCGTCTTCTTGCGGTGCCGCCGCGCGCTTGCCTTCCGCTTGTCCCGCCCTCCGGCGCAGCCACCCGGCCTGCCACCCCCCTCGCCACGCCCGCTTTTCGCCCCCTCTCCTAACCCTCCTCTACCTTGTTTTCTGTAGTATGTATTTCAGCTCCTGTATTGAAATTACATGATTAGTCGTTGAAAATCATCAAGTTAACTTGTGCCAACCCAATCGACATATCGGGTTGGTTAGTAAAGGCATGTGGTAGGTTGACGTGAGAGGTGAAGTAATAAATCAATGTAATCACATTGACGCATTACAGAATCAATTGTAGTTTGATATTAAGTATTTAAATATCAGTCCTTAATTTGATTTAATAAATATTTCACCTCCTAATATAAATAACCTCTTCTTCTTTCGAAACATTAGTAAATACCTTTAATTGTTTCCATTTCATGATAAAGAGAACTTGAACCTGCGATAGGGGAAAATTGCAGTTAATAGTGGCCATTTCAAGCACAAAATTTTAACAATAAGTGTTAAAACCAAGCTTTTTGGCTTAAAACTCGCAGGAGGAGTTTATGCCTACTAGTGGAGAGAATTAGAACGAAGATCTCTTCCTTTTATTTAAAAAAGATGAAAACACCTTATTAATTCTGGCATTGCAATAATGTAACATGCATAGATAATTTTTTGAACATGCTCGATCTTAGTCACTTTCAGGGAGTAGAAAATGAATTGGCCATTACTGATTCAAATATGTGACCACAAACAATTTTTTTCAGTTTTTAATTGACCACTACTGGAACAAAATCGGTGTTTGGAAATAAATTAATAAAAAATATAACAAATTGAAAGTTGGCTACATTAAGTAAGGGATCTGTTCAGAAAAATAAACGCTAATTGTCCAGTTTCACATAACCAGCTTAGTACTGTTTCTCAAGAAGATTGAGAAAAATATTAACACGTCTTTAACTGTGGCCATTGTTGGTACTTTTACCCTAGGTGAGATTAAAAATATCAATTTTTTTTGTGCAGATGATTGGCAGACGGAGGATAAGAATTGTTGACATTAGGCTGACTAACCCCAAAAAAGATTTTTGCTTAAAGATGACAATAGAGATGGAAACTAAAGAAAACAACTGAAATCCGAAAATCAAGAGTTTGGATGAAGATTGCAGCTGGAAAGAAAAACAAAAACATTGCAATAGAAGTCAATGAACCACGAAAATATTACTCTCCAAGCTCTAAAACCCATTTGAGATCACGGTTCCACCACTGTTGCACTGATTATGTGGTCGAGGAAGCTGATTAGATGGTCCGATACACATCACAAAGCCAGGACATATGAAAGATATGTGGCCTTGTAGGACCCCGAGTGCCAACCAGCTCCTTGTGCCAGCCAGCCCAGGTTTTCCCAACTTAAAGTTCTTTAAGTTTCTTGATACATTATAATGCTTATTCAAACCAATACATCGATATTTAAACGGCTGGCTTAAATCCTCATTTTATTTTACTCAGCATGATTGGTGTCATAGAATGCGAATTAAGAGGGATTATATACGACTTAGTGTCGAGAGAATATAGCTATTTATGTGTCAGAGAGAAAGGTTAATATTACAAGAATTTAATATGAAGTGAAGTCATACCTTGTTTTATTTATTTTCCGTAGTACATTTATAAATGTCTCATAAAATATTTAAATAATTACTTTATAAAAATAAGAAGGTAATTGCGAACAGAATTGGCCACAATTTTTTAAATCAAAAACACTGGTCTTATTTACTCTAGTAGTTAATTCAATGTCTTGCAAATCGAGTGACTTATTGCTATTGTGTGCAATGTATGCAATACTCGAACTCTAGTGGTGCTAGGACAGCACGAACTTGCTTCTATTAATTGTAATGGTTTAACAGTACTGCAAGTACTTCTTGAACATACATTAGTGTAATTTTTCAAAAATGGAAATATTATATCTTAACGTTTGTTATATTATTCAATGCGTTTAGCTCTATCAATTCAAAAAGTTTGAAGGAAAAATTTCGTTCCATTTGTATGAAAATGTTGTTTTTAAAGCTGCCATTATTTTACGCAAAATGACGCAAAAACTCCTCACATTTTGAACAAATCGTGTATGAGTTTATTGAAAGATGTCTCTGAAGTATATATTTCATTACAAAATCTATCTCCAATATTATAGTTGTAGGAAGTGGCAGAAAAATTTTAAACATTCGCAATTTTCGAAAATTAAGACATTTCAATTACAATCCGATCTCAGCCATATTTTAAATGTTTTTACGCTATTCGTAGACAAAGTAAATAAAACATTAGTAGTAAAACTTTTGAGAAAATTTTGAAAATGTCGTTGAAGCTTTTTGAAGTCCCTCCCCTCTCCAAACCAAAATATCCATTTCAAATAGAATGGGTCCAGCATGAGCTATATCGATAGGTGAACGTCAATTTTCGTGAAAAACCTGCCAACGGTTTACCTACTGCTTCACAGACGGACAATCTGCCGTCCGAATAGAACGCGCGGACTGGTAACTTTTGACTGCAAACCAATGTTTTGGTAGTGAGGACATAAACAACGTGTATTCTGACTACACTACATGTCAGAGGAAGTTATTTGCTACACATAACAAGAATTATTCACTTTTTCCATGATGATGATGATTGATTGTTAGTGATTCAAGTACTAAGGTTATTAGTCCCGTAGGTGTTGTGCATGTTTTCCTTCGGGAGGTGACGGTGGTTTTCCTCCGCTGGATGGCGAGATACGGTGCCGATTTACCGTCGGCTAGCAGGGGGTTTCCCTAACCAGGTATCTCCCTCCAGCCAGGCACCGCCCCAGCCGGGAGCTCTAAGCTGTCGAATTGTGTAATTAGTGGGAGTGGATAAGCCAAGGAGGAGGAAGGAAAGATCGCGCGCGGTCCGTGGCTTGTTTGATAGGAGACCATTACTCGCCTGGTGTTGATCGGAGACACCACGGAAAACTACCGATCAGAGCGGCCGGCAGCTACAATTCTCCTCCAGACAGTGAATGAATTCGAACTAGCTAACAAGCTAGCGTCGAAAATCCTGCCACCGTTGGGACCACTCGGTCAGAGGGACTGCAGTGACATCAGTTGATGTCCTGAGCCACTTTTTCCGGACACTTTTCGATATCAGGAAACTACAATACGGCATTTTGTTCTGAGAAATTGTCATACTTCGCCGCAGAACTTTCTCTATATCACGTAAATAGTGTGCAAGCAATTCATTCATAGCACCAATACAGAACTTATATATAATTTTTAAGAAAATATTAATAACGAATGAGATTTTTAATTTATAAACAAAACACAATTCCAGATTTCACAATTTAAATGAAGTCTGGAATTGAAAGAAATAAAACTTGAAATTAGACCAAGTTTCAAGCAGCGAACAATGGAACATTCGAAAGGACATGAATTTCTAGCCACCTTAGGTATTATTTGAGCTCCTTTATCCTTTGTAAAAGTTACAAATGAATGTCGCACGGCAACGAATTAAAGAACTCGAAATGTCATATGTATGTTATTTCAGTACAGGTATGTATCGTAAAGAAATCTACCTTGTATAGATAATGCAATGTGTATGGTTATTGTCAACTGACAAACTACATGTAAAAACAAATAATTCTTCCGTTCACCACACATCATTAGTGACAGTCATAAATATAGGAAAGAGCTTCTCATGTTTCCTAAGCCTTATAATGTTTACACATGAGTTATTTTTATTTATTGGAATAGTGAATCATTGAAAATCGATGTAGTAGGTTTCATTCATGAACGTCTAGTCACGGAGTAAAATTAGTTACTTTGATCAAAAGTTCCGCGACGTCAATCCGACTCTCCAACGTCATTCATGCATGTCTTCACAACTCGTTAACTACTCTTGTCAGAATGTTAACAGCATCATGCGTAGGTTCTGACTTTCATTTCCTTATTGTATTTGGCTACCTATAATGCAAAGTCATATATACTCTTTATCGGTAGTCCATAATAACTTGTCACTTGTGGAAGTTATGTAGGTTAGCAAATAACAATGAAATGAGGTTGATGAATGTTTATAAACTTGGAGAAAGGTGCTCTCTCCTTGAATGATTTTATTGATCACCTTCTTCACTTGTGTGCTTAACTTCTAAAACTTATGTACTTTTTGATAAATGTAAAATATTGGAGTAAGGAAGTTATAAATGAAATATCGTGTCTATTGGAATTGGGTTTTCATACGTAAGTTCTCGCATTAAAAATATTTTAAGGCATTTGAAACTTCAAACCTTTTTACGATCAGTTATTTATTTTCATATATAATTATATACTAAAACTTTCTCAATATATATTTTTAGTGGTGATTGGTTTTAACGCATAAGTACCTTTTCGTCCAGTTCCATGTTCCTCAATGGCCCCTTTCACCTCCAGGACAGGAAACACTTTTATTCGTTTGTGTTTGTGCGCCTAGTTCAACACCGTGACTTAAAGGGCCCCGCATTATACAAATTTGGCCATTTGGTTTTACTTGCATCTTGTGTTCATAGCTCAGCCATGACATGAACGTACTCCTGGCCTACACCGGGTGCTTTCGATCCAGGGAGGATCTTAATGTCTTCTGCTGAACGTCCTGGATTTCAGTTTTTAACACACTCCACATATGGTAAGTATTAAAAAAAATTTACAGAAAGTTTTCTAATGCAAGTATTCAAGTTTATTTTCAGCTCGTTTCTAAGTCGCCTATTTGACATGTACCACGGGACTTTAATTTCGCGTGTTAAACATTTATTTTGAACTATTTGAATTTTCTCTGTATTACTTTTGGTGGCCCAGTCAGAGCAAACATAGAACATCTAGAAGTTATCCCGAATATCTCACAGGTTGATCTTTTTTTATTCATTTTAAATTTACTTTTTTAAAATTTTTATTGGGTTGGGAATTTCAGGTCTTCGTAGAATAAATGTATTGGGTTGTGATTTAGTTGGATTTATTTTTATTTGCCACTTTAACCACCAATTTAAAAATGTACCTATGTTTTTTGTAAAATTTCTTTACCTTGAACTATCTCTTTATTTGTCGTGAAGAGCACTGCATCATTAGCGAAACATGCTATTTCTGTTCCTTCCATCTGAGTGTAGTCTGCTACTTTTTCTTACACGTGTAAACAACGTAGAGAAAATATTGTAACCATGTTATTCGAGCAAGTAATTTTAATAGTACAATATTTTTTGAGGGGGATTAGAGGTACTCTAATGATTGGAGGAAGGGTAATTAAACCCAACTCATTAAAATACAAAATAAAAAAATCAGGATTGAAAAAATATTTCAAAAGATTGAAGAATGCTTCTGCAATGTATTTTACAATGCTTTTTCAAGTAGTATTCAATGAATTTGTCTTCAAGAAGTTCCTTTCGGAAGCAAGTCATCTTCAGATGAACGTCTACTACACAAGTGGAATCTGAGGAAAATTTGCATGAAAGCGATTTAACCGGCTCCGCGCTCAGTTGTAACAATGGTGTAATAATGCCTCTGTGAATTAGGTGGATGAAAAAAGTTGATTTATTTTTCGTGGAATTCTCTAGTACAACCATACAACGAACTTTCGCGGTTCGGTACCCTCTTAGGAAAGGCAGGATGACAGTTTAAAAATCGTGCAACAGTTCTTTATAGTAATTTATGTGTCATTTCTACGAAACTGTCAATGTTTCTTTATTCTATTGTGAATACTAATGGGTATCTTACAGTAATGCCTAAATTTGATTGCTGTGAAAAATGATATGCTCATATGTATTTCAAATAGTTCAGTCCTTTTCAGAAATTTTTAGAGATATTGAAAGTTGATTAACGGATTACGTTTATACCTGAGGAGAGCAGGACAAGTGATTGGAAGAATGAAACATATCCATTATAATTGGTCGGGTGTATCTTCAGAGAGCTAACTGGAACTGTGTATCTGGTGCAGAAAGAGTTTGATGCTTCTTATTTTGTTAGATCCTTTACTTTCTTATACTTAATAAAGTATTTTTTCAATTCAATGCGATTATATTTTGAAAAGAAATTAATGTATTGACATAATCGGATTTTAGAGGCCCATCAACAATGCAAATATAAGTAAAAGTATGGTGTTAACATAAAAGTTAAGAGTACGTCCATAAGCGGACGCATTCACAATGCGCTCACATAATCATAACACGTAAAACGTAAACTTAAAAGCTTGCAATCTTCAAGCTACTGTACTTATGTTTAACTAAGACATAAATGAATCAGTCACAGTACGTTAACTCAAAATCGGGTATTGAAATTGGGTCGAAGTTGATAGACAAACTAACGCCATGAACCATGTGCCATGGACCTCGAAATCGATTCTCACATCCAACTAATAGTTAACTAGAATGTTTAACAGCGAATAGAAAGTATTATTTTGCTTACGTTTATGTTAGACATTGTAAATACTTCAGTCTACCACTTTTGTGAATGTTTACGTGTATGCGTTATGCTTATGTTTGTGTTTGCATTGTGAATGGGCCTTAACACCTAAAATGGCATTTACAAAATATTTAAGAATCGGAACCATAGATATCGGACTCGGAGAGGCTAATCCCGTAGACTATGTTTGTGTTGAAACTAATTGTTTATTTATATCTACAATTCGGGTGGAGCTAAAACAGCACATACTTTCTTGCCTCTTAGTAACGGTTATGTAATAATATTATATCGCATTTTTGTCTATATGAACACATCTCAGTCGATGAGCGCTGACAACAAAGCGCGCTTGCAGCGATGGAGACTGTCAATAATGGGTCAATGCGATGGAAACTGTCAAAATATTTTCTTACCAATTCTTCCTAAAAGCGCGATTGTTGCCATAAATGGAAGGTGGTTCGCAGTTGGTGTGAAACCTGTATATATTTCATTAATTGAAAGCAGAAATCACGCATTTCGTTTTTTTCAAAAAATTGTACATGAAGGACCTTTCTTAAAGAGAATTTTGTACAATACTTTCTATGAAAATTCTCTATTTTCAATTTTATAGTTGGATTTTTTTATTTTCAAAAACTGAGTAATATCTAAAAATATGACTACCACTATATTTTTATCGTCTCTTATTACATAAGTGACGTAAATTTAAAGAAAAAACTTGGAGCGGTTTGTAAGAAAAAGTTTTTTTGTACATTTTAATCGCAAAATACAAAAAAATTACTCGTTTTTTGAAAAAATTGTACATGACAGTTTTTGAAGAGCTAATTTTGTACACAGACTTTGTCTGAGGCAAAAATATCTGTTTCCAATTTTGAAATTTAAAATATTTTTTTCCAGTTTTCGAAAAGTCGGGGATGTCAACGAAAATTGGACCTGCACCATTATCTTAAACTCTTTTTGCACTATTCAACAACAAAATTTAATGAAAAAATTTGGAGCCATTTTTTGAAAATCTCCCAAGGGTATCATGAAAAGTACTCCCCAAAATTAAAATGTCTGTTTCAAATTCCAGGGTCCGCGATATCAGCAAGAATGATTGGGGAATATCAATTTTGGAGAAAATCGGCTGAACGGTTTATGCGACAGCGTTGTGCACAGACGGACGGACTGACGGACAGGTTTTGCGATTGTCAATCGATTTTTCGGTATGAAGGGCGTACAAACGGATTCTGGCTGGACACCACGTGTTAGAGGATTTTTTTAATAATCAGAAACTGGATTTATCCACATTTTCGTTACCAGGGCCCGGCAATAAGCGTTTTTGTGTCGAAAATTCGCCGTTTTCCGGCGCACAATTACAATACTTTGTCTTGTTGAGTTCGTAAGTGCGAGAAAGTAAAAATAGATTATGTGTAATACTTTTCGTGAATTTACTTCACTGCAGTGGGGTAATTTCAACTGCGAAAACTTTTCACCTCTCATAAATTTTGGACGCTCATTTCTTGCCAAAACAATAATCTCTTGAGATTTTAAGTATTATTAATCTTCATCTATCCCAATCTGTGGGGTTAAATTAGATGTGTAACTTTGATCTCATTATTCGTAAATGTAACAAATATATTTCTGTAATTCTTGTTTTTTATGTATTCTGAAATTATATTCTTTTCATACGAGTATTATTACTGCTTCTTGAAAACAATTTTAATTTAAATATTAAATTACAGTAAAGTATCTGTTAAAAGATTCAAAAGTAATTTTTACTCCATCAAAAACTAATAAGACTATCCTATAGTTCGCAAATTTTGTATAGTTTATTGAACTTCGATTTCATTTGAGCTGTGTGAGCAGCACTAGCAGAGACAAACAAGAAAACTATTGAAACAAATAACAAATATTAGTGTAATTATTTGAGGACAACCTGTGGCGGAATGACCGGCAGACACGATTCTTCACGCTTCCGAACTCGGTCATATTTACTTTCAAGTGTCTCGTGAAAAACGACTGCGGGAGCACAAGAGGCGCCGTAGCGAGCGAAGCAGATAGACCCTGGCGAATCTTCCATGTAATTGTACTTCTGGGAGCCGTGCTTTTTCTTTGTTTCCCCAGCTTCATTTCGATCAGGAAAACTCTAAGACATACAGAAACCTCACAGTTTACGTTTCAGCACTGTAAACTTGTATAAATTACCTACATCGTGCATCTGCAAATTACACACATATATTTCATTTCCGTAAGAATTTTTCATTACCGTAAACCATAAAATAAGTAGTATTTGGAAGAGAATTGATTTTCTGAAGGTTATGGAACCTAATCACCTTGAATTCTGGCGACGTTATATCAATACTTGCTGTATTTGTGTGAATATTACGATATATAGTCTGAATATAATTCATGTGTGTATTACATTTACATTTTTAAACTTATTTTATTATATATTTCTTGTTGTCGTAACATGGCGTTTTCCGTTGAGCTAACGATCTCTGGACTGAAGCATTAGTGCAATAATCGCCCAATACCAATTGGTGAACGGTTTAATAAAGTATCATAAAAAGGAGAAGTTATAGTAAAATGTTAGAGAGAAAGTCAAAAAGAAATATTTAATTTAGCAATTTCGATACTACTAGAAAGTACTACGTTACAAATATATTGTGTTTTGATTAATCGCATAGTATACAGGCCTTTACAATTCTAAGAAAAGTTTCTCCCCGACCTTTCGCAAGGCTGTAAAATTTATTAGACTATCGACGCAAGAAGCTACTAGGCTTTTGCTCATAAGTTGCATTCAAGTCAACGTGTACGCATCCGTGTTTACCTAGCATCTCAAAACGAGTTTCCATATCCCAGCAGGAGGCAGCATTTCAAGTCCTCGCCAGACTGCATTACAAACCAGCGCCAACCTGGATTCCAAAGGGATACCCGCAACCTGGATTCCAAAGGATACCTTGGTTGGCACCATCTAGAACCGGATAGAATTTCCCTTGAGCAGGATGACTCTTTTAGACCCAGTTCTACATGCAGATTCGACGATTTTTGTTCGCGTACCTCGTCACGAGTAATGAGCAAGGCAATTCCTCGAGTACACCATGGATTTGGCCAACATTCCTCTGTGAAGAAAGTTATTCAGAGTAGGTTTTTACAAGCCTCGTTTCTCTTGTGTTTTGCCGCCGGGAAATTTTTACAAAATGCAGACGGGTTTGTGGTATTCCAATATTTCGCTATAGTATCGACATGATATGGCTATTT